AGGCATAAGACCAAGCCGCTCGGAAGATTTTTTTCACCCGAAAGGGAACCATCGAGTTTTTTTTACTTCCGGCTGGTTCTGTCTTAGGGTCCTCACGACCCCACTAGGGGGGAGTGAGCTGTAGCGGCAAATAATTCCCCAAAATTATTGACCACAGCAATCACTCATTGGATGCTGACCACCACTGTTTAAGTCGACTTGTTTAGCTGAAGGCTTCCGGTCAAGCATCCCCGCCATTTGGTAACTCGTCGTGTCACGTGCACGATCACTAGCTAGCTGAGCGTTCGTCTAACGGCTGGTTTTGGTTACTAAATATATGTCTTGGTTCGGACGATCAATTGTTGGCTTTTGCTTTGTCTTTGGTACGCGAGAATAAATTAATTAGAAGTTGTTGAACGAGATATCACGTCAAACCTTTAATATCCGTCAACCTTTAAACCTCTCTTCATAAGCCGGGTGAACACGTAGGTGTTTCGGTGTGCTATACGAACGCATGTAGTCTTAGGAATGAGCTCGCCGAATTAGGAGAATTATCTGAAAGACTACAACCGGATGTGATTGCTATCACTGAGACATGGTTGTTAGTGGGTGTAGACTTAACTCCACTCATACCTGGGTATATCTGCATACGAGCAGACAGAGTAAGTAGTCAGAAAGATGGGGGAGGGTTGCTTTATACATCCGGGATGACATAAGGATCAGGTCAACGTTGTCAGAAGCTCATGACAGCGGCACCAGTGAAGCCGCAAGTTGCACCATTAACTTGAACAAAGGCACTTTAACGTTCGGAGTTATTTACAGAAGTCCTGCTAGCCAAGCTGATGACTTCGTTCTAAATCACTTGAGGGCGTGGGGTAGTAGAAATAGGTGTCTGATTGTTGGCGACTTTAACGCTCCACATATTAATTGGGGGGAATTAAACTCCACTAGTTTGTATACCTGTTTCAATAGGGAGCTCACATAGACAGTGCTTGAATATGCACTCGTGCAACATATGCATGCACCAACACGGTATCACCCTGAACATGATCCATCTACTCTAGACTTGGTATTGACACACCGGAAGGAGGACGTTGGTAACATTAGGTGCCTCCCGCCGCTTGGTAGCAGTGACCACATAGTCATTCTTTTACGTTTAGGATTCATTCTCTTATACATAGGTCAAAATCTGCTCGTCCAAACATTTGGAAAGCGGATATACAAGGAATCTGGAACGCAGCAACGGCGTCATTTGATACAAGTCGGACTGACGAGGAAGCTTGGGTAGGATTTAGGAATACACTAGATCGTGTCACTTCACCTTTTATACCTTGGTACACTCCTCGAAAGCTGTCGCGTGAACCACCTTGCATCACTAGTGAAATAAGGAGGTTATTAAGACGGCGAAAGAACTTATGGGACCAATTTGTTATGACAGGAAGGGAAAATTTCCAGAAAGACTACCGCAAAATTCGAAACCTCTGTAAGTATGCGATTAACAAGAGTTGTATAGAGTACGAGAGACGATTAGTACTAGATTGGGTTCATTACCCAAAAAGGCTTTACTCGTATATTAAACATAGGACTAAAACTAGCAGTGGTATACCGTCACTCATAACCGTTAGTGGAGAAGCGGCTGAGTGAGACGAAAGAAAGGCTGAAAACCTCTCTGAATACTTCTGTGACGTCTTCTCGTCTAATAGTACCACCCAGGGAAATGGCGAGGTCACTGCCATCGTCACTCAGATGCCCTCAATTGTAGTAGAGCACACAAAGGTTCTCAAACTACTGTCTAAACTGAAGCCAGGTAAATCACCTGGGCCGGATGGACTTCACCCTAAGCTGTTAATTTCCTTGGCGGATATAATATATATTCCGCTTACGGAGATTTTCCAAATGTCTCTGACGCAGGCTAAGCTACCCAGGGACTGGAAGGAAGCCATTATAAGCCCTATCTTCAAAGACGGGGATAGGCAATTGGTATCTAACTACAGGCTGGTAAGTCTGACATGCATTACCGCAAAGGTATTGGAAACTACTATAAGGGATCAACTATTAGCTTATGTTGAAACACATGGCTTGTTGGCTGTGGAACAGCATGGATTCCGACCAGAACGATCCTGCTTGACAAACCTACTTTTGGCTAGGGGAGACTGGGTTGAGGCCAGAGATAGGAACCGTCTGTTGGACGTGGTTTTTATTGATCTTAGCAAGGCGTTCGACAAAGTATCCCACTTAGGTCTCCTTAGTAAACTTAAAGGTTTTGGACTAGACCAATGCCTATGTGAGTGGTTTAGAGATTACTTAATGGATAGAAGGCAGAAGGTTAGAGTTAACGGTGTACCATCAGGATGGAAAGTAGTATCCAGTGGAATGCCCCAGGGAACTGTATTAGGTCCCTTGCTATTCCTATTATACGTAAACGAATTACCAGGGATTCTTTCTTCATCTTCATTATTACTTGCAGATGACATTAAGATATGGAAAACTGTAAATAATAACGAGGATAGGTCGGCCCTACAAACTGATCTAGATAAATTAGCTGAGTGGTCAAGCCTATGGAGTTTGGAAAAGAATGCTAGGAAAAGCGCGGTAATGCACTTAGGTCAGAAGTCTTATACGTCGTACTCCCTAGGGGACGCAGAACTACCTGATGATAACGAACAGAAGGACCTAGGAATCATTGTCAGCAATGATTTGAAAACAACTGCAAATTGCAATGGAGCCGCAGCTAAAGCTTTTCGAATGCTATGGGCGATTCGAAGGGCTTTCAAACGATTAGACGAGGGCATGTTCCAAATACTCTACGCAACATATGTCAGGCCTCATCTAGAATACTGCATACAGGCGACGAGTCCATGCTTCAAAAAGGAGGCACATATTTTGGAAAGAGTACAGAGAGTAGGGACAAAATTAGTTAGTGGTATCTCACAACTTCCTTATGATAAGAGGATGGAGCATTTAAATCTCTTCCCGTTATCATACCGTAGGAAGAGAGGCGACTTAATTTTAGCATACCGTATACTTAAGGGTGATTTAGGAACTGACCTTTCTAACCTTTTCTCCCCTTCTAGGATACATTTACGGGGGCACCGCAAAATGGTGCTCAAACCAAGGTCGATTAAAATACGTGCAGAATTTAGATTCTCTCACAGAGTGGTCAACGATTGGAACTCCTTACCTGATTCAGTAGTATCAGCTCCATCGGTGAACGCTTTCAAAGAGAAGTTAGATCTCTGCAGAGACATACTTTGCAAGGATTAACACAGGCCACAAGAGCCTTCTATCCTTGTCATCTGAATCTGAATCAGATGTCCCAATTATAATGAGGAGTTTCAGTTTTTAAATTAAACCAATTTCTACACATATATTCATCCAGATGACCATAAATAACTCGGTTTTGAGATCCGTTAATAGCTGTTATTCTATTTTTTATTCTTCGACTGAATTAATATGAGTACCGGTTCTGGGATCGGCGAAGTCATCCGAATGGTTAACTCGGTGATATATATATATATATATATATCGGTTGTATGCTGCCCATTCATCCGTGTGAATGGTAGTGCCTGGCAAGACGAGCCTCTGAATAATACGGAGAAGTGTATCAGCACTCCTACCTGGAATAAGTTCGATAAATCCTTTCCGAATCTGCGTGTCGTAAATTCCTAGAACCCAAACGTTATTTGCCCTAGCATGTCCTCGATGGTACTTCTTTATAAGTAATACTATTCATTTTCCACGACGCTGAATTTCGACAAAACTGGGACCACTGCACAGTAGACGTTAACGTGTTTTCTATCTGAGCCGCAGTAGATCTTACCCCAGACTTTAAAATTCAGTAATGGCACAGAAACAGGATATTGGTCAACGAAAGTTTCGATTTTTCAAATAAATTTCCTAGAAGACAATTAACTGAGAGTGTCACTTACCAGTACGAACACTTATTCGTTTCCTGTACTGTGTACATCTAAATACATAGCCATCAATTTCCTGGGTATACGGCTGCTGTCTGTCTGTTTTCGACACAGAAATTTGCACCAATGTGCAACAGTTCAAGTCGCCGCACCATGTAGCACAGAAAGCAAGAGAAGAAAGTAGAAGAAATGCATAATAGAGACAGTAAACAGAGGTGTGAGACAAAGAAATAGTAATATTGAAGAACAAAACAGTTTCATTGGAAATCATAAGTCACAAGGAGTGGATGCGCATCTGCGCCAGCCATCACTGAGAACGATTTTGAGCCATGTCACCAATTGTTTCCAACCATTGTTTTTTACCGTCCCGAGGACCCCAATAAGGAAGTCTTCAGGTTCCTACGTGACTTAAACTAACTTCTGTGGATTTCATTGACTGATGCCATGTTTTCTTTTCACCGGCACTAGCTCTTTTTCAGTCTGACTCTATGTCAGCTAACATTGCCCATCGAGTAAGGCGAGGACTAGGCATACGCAAAACATGTCCTAATCATCTCAGTCGATGTAGCTTCACAGCCTCGTCGATTGATTTCCCCTCCCACCAACCTAGCACTGGACGTCGTCTAACCTCAATATTGCTCTCCTTATTATACCACTTCACACGGGAGATAGAGCGCAGGCACCTATGACCAAAGACAGCTAGCTAGTCTTTTCATGTCTTCCACTCTCAATGGCCATGTCTCAGTCACAGCCATAAAGGAGGACGCAGCGGTCTGATGAGCAGTACACCCGCCCTTTGGTCGATAGTCGGATACCTCGTCTACGCCAGAGACGGCGTAAACTGGCATATACGAAACTAGCCCTCTGTATCTGTGCTGAGATTTCGTCAGAGATTGACCCGTTGCGGCTGATGCAACTTGCCAAATAAGTGAAGTGGTCAACCAGCTCTACCAGTTCACTCCCTATTTCTAAACTAGGATTCAGTGTAGTCCAGTCCTGTAACATCATCTTACATTTGGAGGGATCGAATCGCATGCCAAAGATTCGTGGATTGCAGCCGAAGGTGTTTAGAAGACTTTGCTGGATTTTGTCAGCCTCCTCGCCTAGAAGGACTATATCGTCTGCATATTCTAAGTCGACGAGATTATTCACTGGTAGAAAGTCAATCCCTGAGTCTCTGAAGTGAATTAGGGTAAAGTCCATTAGTACATCTATGATGAAATTGAATAGAAATGGGGATAATAGGCATCCCTGACGGACACCACTAGTCGTCACTTTAGATGACAACTCGCTGTAAGCCCTCACCTGGCTGATGCCATGAGTTCTAGTAGAATGCCTTGATCAGTGCAATCTATTTTCTTGGTATTCCCTTTACAGCCAAGCATCGCCTCTCGTTCAACAGAATCGAATCCCGCCTTCAGGTCAAGAAATATAATGATTGTTGGACGCCGCTAAGGATGTCTGTGTTCTAGTATCTGTCGAAGGATGAAGATATGATGAATACACCCTCTTCCTGGTCTACAGCCTGTCTGGTTCTCTCGTGTTTGTGCCTCCCAAGCACCACTTAGTCTACGCATGATTATTGAGCCTAGGACTTTAGATACCACACTAGTCAAGCTAACCCCTTTGTGATTATCACAGGAAGACTTGTCTCCCTTATTGTATATGGGGGTAATCAGTGGCTTACACCAACCCAATGGGACTTCCTCTGATTCCCAGACGCTGCCTACTACCTCACTTAGTGCAGACAGTAAACTGTCTCCACCGTACTTAAATACCTCTGGAGTTATTGCAACAGGTCCCACTGCTTTGCCTTGTTTCAGACTAGTGACAGCTTTAGTAACCTCAGGGACGGAGGACCTGTGTCTATATCCCATACAGGGAGGTGTTAGATGTTCGGTAAGTTGAGCGTGGCTGTAGGCCAATTAAACTGCTCCTCATAGTATTCTTTCCAACGTTCCAATCCTCTATCCTGGGAGCTAATTATGGTGCCATTTTTCTCCGAGATTGTTTCACTTATCATTTGCCTTTTACCACCTGTTTCCCTGACAAGCCTAAATAATTGTCTGGAGTTGCCAATCGCCGATGCCTTTTCCATCTATTTCGCTTTTTTCGTTCAGCACTGTTCACAATCGTTGCGAAGACTTCTTGTTAGTTTTCATTTGAGTAGCTTTCGCTCCTCAGCATAATCGGAGCTCGCCGGAGTCAGTCTTGTGTCAATAAGTTCTGATGAGGCGGTAAAGATCCACTGGCTCTTACTAACTTTCGGTTTCAGCTTATTAACAGCTTTTACAGCTGTGTCTACAGCTAACTGTATGTTGTGGCAGGCTGCCTCAGGGGAATTCCTGCTGTCGACCTCAGACACTCGTTTCTCTATTTCTTCCTTAAATAGGGACTCAGGGTCTCGATATGGTTGGGTACATAACTGTTTCGCTGCGGTCAATTTCTTATGTCCACTTAGTTGTAAGCATAAAGGTGCGCGAACCAGAGGGTGATCAGAGTCTGCGCACGCGTTCCAGAAGGAGCGGCAGTCTTCTACTGACCTCACCAACTATACCCTATGGCTATGTGGTCTATCTGAGTCCAGCGTTGATTTGGTGATGGAGGTCGCCAGGTTACACAATGTCTCTCTTTGTGCCTAAAGTTAGTGCTGACTAGGAACAGATGATTATCTGAGCATAACTGTTGAAGACGATCACCGTTGTCGGTTCGTCGACAGCTGGGGAACTCCACACGTACCACCTACATAATTCTCAGTCTGGCACAACATACCTACTTGGGCATTGAAGTCGCCAGCTAAAACAGTTATATCTGGATGCTTTGCTTTTTGCAGCAAATTAAACAGTTTCAAGTAGAAGTCATCCTTTAGTTCATCCGAACTGCAGTCTGTTGGTGGTATACATCTGCAGCTTCATAGAAGCGCCACAACTACATATCCGAGTACGGCCTATTAATCCATTACCTAGGGGAAATTTGCTTCTGAGCAGATGAACAGTGTCATTTTCGCGCTAGAATAGTGGTAATTTTCCTCAACTAGCAAGCGTTCAAGGTCACTTGAGCGTTCATACTCCCGGGACGTTATTCTTTAACTTCGCCGAACTAGGTACTTGAGATAAAATAGATTATAATAGTACTTAGGTGAAAATCACCGTGAGGTACATAAGTGATATTTCAGTGAGACGTTGGTCCAAAGATGAGAAAGATTAGAACCTGTAGTGCATGCTGACCTGTAAGACGTTTCACGAATTTCTGTAGTGCCGATTGGGTGGCATCTTGGCATGAAGCTGAGTAGGCTTGTAGGTGTTAGAAGCAAAAGAACTTTTTATAATTTAAATCTTTGCAATCATTATTGTTTCTTTCTAATTTTATGTTAAGGATCTAGACTCGTTTAATTCTCCAGTTGTTAAAAATGCATGTCGCTGTCCTACAGATTGAGGCGATAATCATTTGTGACCACTACAATATCTGCTGATTAGCATGCTCCACCCTCCCTCCTTATTGATGTTAGACCCAGAGACTTTTTGCAGTAACTGTAGTTGTGGCATTGCACGGCTTTGAGTCAGTCCCAAATATACAGTAAACTGCACAATAATAGTTTTCATGACGAATGCTTCATATTAGGTCACGAGAATACATCGATACCTGAGAACATTCTTAGCACTATTATCTTTATACATGTACAAATGTGTGGTTATCAAAAATAATTGGGAAATTAAGTTTTCCTTAAAAATTATAATTATAGTCTATTTAGCAGAGTGAAATGAGTAGTGGAAAATTTAGTGATAAAGTTATGCAGAATGATCCTGAAAAAAACAGCTGGTTAACAGAACTTGTTATGATAAATTTTCATGGTCGACTTTCATGTTGTTTTCGTCAGGTATTGCAAAGTAACCCATCAACTTATGTTATGGATAAAATACACTACGAAACGTTTTAACATTAACAATTTCAGAAAAGTATATAGAAATGTGTAGCTATTAAATGAAGGTAGTCACCTCAACATCGAAATAGTGGTGAATTATACTAATTTTGCATATATATGTATGAAATATTAAAAGGTATGGTTTCCGATGAAATTGCTTTTAGAAATACATACACCAACACAAATCGGTAAGGATTATATATACAGCAGAAAATCAGTAAATAGGTCAACGTTCTCTGCATAAGTGGTAGAGTTGAGTTAGATGTAACTTCATGGATAATCCCCATCCAGGCATTAATGAAAACAAAACACGTAGATCAGCGAAGAGTCTCTTTTCGGCGAATTCATTTTCTTAGCTGTACAATCGCAAATATATATGCATTGTTTTGTATGTATGTGTACATTAAGTTTGTCAAACAAAGTTACAATTGGTTAAGGTTACTTTTAACTAAACAAGTGACCTTAACCAATTGTAACTTTGTTTGACAAACTTAATGTACACATACATACAAAACAATGCATATATATTTGCGATTGTACAGCTAAGAAAATGAATTCGCCGAAAAGAGACTCTTCGCTGATCTACGTGTTTTGTTTTCATTAGATGTAACTGACTACGTTGAAGATCGGACTATTTTTCGCTTACCATTCTACCAAGAGTTGTGGTCTTTTAGTTGAGCTAGCTAGAGTGAACATATTGATGTGGTTTTCTAGACTCCGTTTGAACCCACGGGGTTTTCACAAGATCTAATTTCGGATGGTAGTTGATCCTAAAGAGTGAAATATTTGATGGTGAAAATGTCTGCCCTAGTGGTTTTACTGTGGGTAGCCATCTTGACAAGGTAGCCGTGATTTCGCAGCTGATATGATTTGAAGATGGATTGATGGGTTACTATAACAATGTTTCCTAATAACTTTGAAGCGTACAAATAAGTTTCACTTCATTCTACTTAACCATAGGGGTTATAATTTTAGGTGTCAACATATTCCACTTGTTGGTCAAACCCCATTACACGTTTTGTGAGGCAACTCTGGACACTCTCAACTTTTTTCGGTCTGCAGACCTCAGGTTACTAAATAGGAGAGAACATTATTCAAGTTTGGGGTGAATGCGTGTCTTATATATAGCTAATCTTGCTTCTTGGGTGTAAAGTTACGCAGTACAAAGCCGGTAAGTCGTTTATAGTCAGATACTGCCTTATTTGCATGAATAGAAATGGTTAATTCTGAGTATGTTATCTTAAGATCTGTGACCACGCTGAGTTCTGAGAAGAGGCTATCGTACACATATAGACACATTGTCGGTTTCCAGCGTCCAAACTGGACTAAACCCTACGTATCTGGGCTGAAAGTCAGTTGCCATTTTTCGATCCAATCGCCTAGAATGATTAAGTCACGTGGGATTTTAATTTCAACACTCATGTCATCTTACCCATCATCATATTCTATCTTGATCATCTGCAAAGAGGTACGGCTTGCCATACTTTGTCACAGAGACTAAGTCATTTATGAATAAGAGGAATGGAATAGAGCCAAGAATGCTTTCTCCCATTACACCATTAGTTATCGGCTTCGATGAGGACAGCCTGTGGTTGATTTCGACTAATTGCTCTCTTTCTGTGAGAAAAGAATTTATCCATTTGAGAAGTTTTCCAGTTATTCCGTAAGATTGGAGTTTTGTTAGGAGTCCGATATGTGGGACTTTATCAAAGGCTTTGCTAACGTCGATAAATAATGTTGTTGCTGAATTCCCATTATCTATGCATTGTGTAATGTAGTCAAGATAGTTTAAGTGGCGAGTAATGCACGACCTCATGTGCATAAAGTGAGAATATATTATTATAAAATGCGTTTTATTATTATATGAGGGAATTGACTTCTAGATTCATTCATTTTCCCAAGTATCTGTAATCCATCCGACACCTACTTCGGTTTCTTTTGTTAATGCGAAGTCAATATTTCTATGTTTCTTGATGTAGTCCATTGAATCACTAGTTATCAGATTTTTCCCAGCAATTAAAGACAAAATGATAGCAACCATGTAATTTAACCGTAAATCATGTAATTTAAATGATACTTATCCATGTTTATACAACTGGTGTGTCCTACATAGGTAGGAATAAATATGTACCTTATTATATTATCATCACTAACTATGCTTACTAATCGTATGTGTAATTTATCGAATTTATGATGCCTGTAAACTGGCATCCCTCACGCACAAAAGTGAGAATATATTATTATTAGGAAACATTATTAAGATGGGGAAAGTAAATCATTAGAGAGCAAATACTGAGTGATTTAAGTCTTTACAATCTTTTCCATCGCGATAGCCTTATTGATCTCTTGTGTGGTGAAAAATATGTCACCTGGACATTCATCTGTTTTACGTGTGAAATCCACGATTAAAATATATTCACCTCAACTTATTCATACAATGAACTTGATTTGGGTTGACACTTAGGACTCCTATATGGAACTGGGAAATATCCTTTGAGTATATTATAGGAAATCGCTGTCCGGTATACCTATTTTTTAATACTCTTAATTCTTTGTAAAACTTTAAACAAACACTTCTTCAAATGGGTCACTTCATTCATTCAAGTGGGTCGATCAGATTTATTTACATGTAAATTTTCTTGAGTTGATGCAATTTCCTCTAACCACCCGCAATAATGAATACCCAGGGGATTATGAAAGATGATGAGTCAGTCAACCCAGTTATTCTTTGCTATTATTCATATGAGTGTAGTTGTAACACTACAGTCTATATCTGTTTTAACGTTAACTTGTAGGAAATCCGCCTATCACAAACTATTGTGAAATGGAAGTTGGGTTATAGTAATCGAGAAAGTATGACGACTGCTGCCACCCAGTTGGTTGCCTAAGAGCGAACTCTGTCTCTCTCTCTATATGGAAATACTCAGTCCTTCATAGACACAAAGAAGCCTTTTGGACTACCGATGTA